CTGGGTCTGAGGGCTAAACCCTAAACGGGGATTATGCATAGGCCTTCAGTGATTTATGTGCAGTTCTATGAGCATTTATCGGCTTTGGGGGTCAAGCATAAGATACGCTGTCAATTCCTCTGGGCTTCATCTAGGTACTTTGTATGGACTACAGATACACCGGGCTTCACTTCAGGCTGTCACTAGGACCTGTTAATATACGGACCTCAATAATTACCAATGTTATTTTGGGGGGGGTCCTTATTATGATTTTACACTTGTCCTATAAGGATCCCAAAACCCTATTCTAACAATTAAGACCACTATACTACGGTCTTGTAGGGCACATCGGGGCATTTTATAGATGCAGAGAAAGTCCTATGGAGCTCGTAGCGGTTTCTACCCCTCAGAACCAAGGTTAGGGTTTAGGGTTTACGGTTTAGTCGTAAGCAGGCCTTTGACTATTTATCATGTTTCCTGGTCCGAGCCTCTTATGCTCTGTCCTTGCTGCGCCTTTAATGGCGCCCTCGCCGTTTCGCACAGGCCCCAACAGAAAAGCAGGTTTTGGGTTTCATGGGCTTCTGGGGACTGAAGGTTATGCGGATAGCAGCGTTTAGGGTTCAGGTTTTTTCGATTCGGGCTTGGTGAGTGGGGTGTTGGTGTCAAGGTTTGGGCTTTCGTTTGAAGAACCTTAGGATTTTATTGTGCTTCATTAGAAGTCTCTGAAAGATGCTTGAAGGTTTTCATCGATGGTGTTTTGTGGTGTCGGGGCTATAGGATTTTGTGTCGAAAGTTCCGCTGTTTGGAACTTAGAGGTGTCCCGCTTGGATTTTTTTGCTTCTAGTGTCTCGGGGTCGTGCCTTGGGGCTTCTAGGGTTTTTGACAAAACCCTCAACCGTAAACCCTAAACCCTAAACCCTAAACCGGGTTTTTGAGGAAGGGGAGTTGTTTCGAAAGCGCATGTTGAGGACCCAAGAGTTGGGACCGGTTTAGGGTTTAGGGTTTAGGGCTTAGTACTGCTGGGCGCAGGCTTCAATGGCTAACCCCTAAACCCCTAAACCCCTAAACCCTAAACCCCTAAACCCAAAACCTTTAAACCCAAAACCCCCAAACCCAAAACCCAAAACCCCTAAACCCAAAACCATGTATTCTGTTGGGTTCTCGTTCAATCATGCCTTGGATGACCAGACATCGCGGCAGGAGTGAGCAAAGCAGACCTAAGCCCAAGCCTGAAACTCCGGGTTTAGGGTTTAGGCTTTAGGGTTTAGGGTTTAGGGATTAATGTTGGGGCCTTGATAATAATAATTACCTATGCTATTTTGGGGGCTCCTTCTTATAATTATAGCATAATATGCACCAGAACTTTGTTCTAATTGTTGAGGCCCCTACATCATCCACCGAAATTTTCATTTTTGGTGGTGTCCTGTATGAATGATGGGAAGCAGACCATAAGTTTGGTCAACCATTAACAGGAGCTACATTGGGCCATAGGTAAGAACCAAGCCGCTTTCGATGCGATGCACAGCAGTTTTGTAATTCGCACAAGGCCCCAAACCCTCAACCCTAAACCTGAAACCCGAAACCTTAAACTAAAGAGCCCTAAACTCTAAACCCAAACCCTAAACCCAAAACTGGAACCGAGAACCTTGAACCCTCAACCCTAAACCCTAAAACTGAACCCTTAAACCTCAGAACCTTAAGCCCTAAACCTCAAACCACAACCCTCAGACCCGTTTAGAGTTTTGGGGCTTTTGGGGGGTTTGGGGTTTAGGACTGGGGGAGGTCTGGGTTCATCCTAAGTAGTATTAGGCAGAACCCAGGGGACCTTTCTTGACCCTACTTATGGCTTTCTTGAAAGGGACCTTATTGAGGGAGTCTATATCCCTAAGAGCCCCCCTAATTCCAACTCCTAGTTTAGGGAATTTCAGAGAGTTATTCGCTGCTGGGTCCGTTCAGCATCTAGAGACATGTGCCCTTCATGCTTGAGGCCTTGCTTTGAGGAGGACTTGAAACGGTCTGGGTTTGGGGCTTAGGGCGTATCAAGGTTGGGACAACTACTGCAGCCGTTTGTCTCAACACTGCTGCGCACTAATTACCAGTGCGGTCGGCGATTCGCAGTGAGCTTGAAAGAGCTGCGCTGCACCTTGCAATGCTCTCAATGTGCCGTGTCTAACACAATCTTAAATCCCTAACATGGTGTTGATGCGGGCTTTCTTTATTTTTGCACTGTCAAGCCGTGTCCATGCTGCCCAGAAAGGACTCAACTCTAAGCCCGACGCAAGCCCTTAACCCTGAACCCTAAGCCCTAAACAAACCTTAAACCCTCAGCAAACCCTTAACAAGCCCTAAGCAGACCCTAAACTCAACCTAAGCAGACCCTAAACAAACCCAACAGAAACCGTTGCCAAGGTGCATTCTTCGCATGTCTCTGCTGCTGGTGCTTCTGCAGCTATTGCAGCCGCAGGCGCCCTGGCAGCCCCAAGAACTTTCACGGTCCTCACGAGACCGAAGAGGTTTAGAGTTTAGAGTCTGGAGTTTTGGGTTTTTAGTTTAGGGTTCAGAGTTTAAGGGTTTTGTATGGCCCGAAGAACAAGACCATGGTGATCCTGCACCAGGGGTCTCCATATGATCAGTAACACAGCGATCTCGTCAGCTGATGCTTCTTCGTAATTAGCATAGAGACAGGATGGCCTTATGGAGCTATGGAAGGCGCCCCTGTACAAAAGCCCTTGTAGTTGACCTTGCATTCTAGGACCCGTACGGAAGGAGACATCTGAAAAGGCGACGCTCTGATTCCTCTACCGCAAATCGACTTCACCAGTATCGAACTTGAAGGGTCAATCTTCGAGCTTGAAGGTCTCATGTCATGGTAAACGCTAAGCCCTAAACCCTAAACCCGTAAACTCTAAGCCCCAAACACTAAGCAAAGCGAATCCTCAACACCAGACCCGACATGTACTTAATGTAGGGACCTCAATAATTGGAATAATTAGGGTTTTGGTGGTCTCCTTATTAGACTTATATATAGTATAATAGACCCCCAAACCCTATCCCAATTGTTAAGGCCGCTATATTAACCGTTACTCCAAATAGAAATGTACTAAAAGGACCAAAATAATTACCAACTCTACTTTGGGGTTCCTTATTATAAGTATAATAGTATAATGGGCCCGAAACCCTATTAAAACTATTAAGGCCCCTACAGTAGGCCATTCAACTTGAAAAGACCAGGCCACGCGCTTGGCAACAGAAGCTAGCGTGGGCTTACCACAGAAGCTGGACGGCAGGGAATTTCCGTTTCTGGTTTAGGGTTTGGGGTTTAGGGTCTAGGGATTAGGGTTTAGGGTTTAGGGTTTACGGTTTAGGGCTTAGAGTTAGGTGTTTTTCCAAGCCGGAACCTTAAACAGCAAGTCCGAAACCCTACGCCCTAAGCTCGGATCGTACACGTATTAGGGTCATGTTCAAACAGAGCCTTAAGCTCGAGACCGGACACTGACTAAGCAGTTGCCGACCGCAATCTGATGTATGGTTGAGGGCCTCTGTGATCAGAAAACCTAAACCCTAAAACCCTAAACCCTAAACCCGCGGCATGACGCTTCTTTGCTGGGGTCTAGGGGCTTTCCTGTGTAGACCGTCCGTAAGATAAGATTTCTGGGTCGTCCTCAACCTGCCAGAACCTACCTGGGTCTCAGTATCAACTTGACCTATAGACTCCATTGCAGTTCCTTTTCGGGGTTACCTTGTAGGATCCTAAATAAAAAGCGGGTTAAACCAAAGGAGACTCTAGGTAATATCCCTAAACCCTAAACCCTAAACCCTACAGCCGTTTAAACCCGAAGCCCGAAAGCCAGGACCCTAAAACCCTAAAGCTCTGAACCCTAAAGCCAGGACCCTGAACCCTAAAACCCTAAAGCCCTGAACCCTAAACCCTAAAGCCCTTTAAACCCTAAACCCTAAAGCCAGGACCCTAAAACTCTAAACACTAAAGGCAGGACCCTGAACCCTAAAACCCTAAAGCCCTGAACCCTAGACCCTACAGCCCTTTAAACCCTAAACCCTAAAGCCAGGACCCTAAAACCCTAAACCCTAAAGCCAGGACCCTAAAACCCTAAAACTCTAAACCCTAAAGCCAGGACCCTGAACCCTAAAAGCCCAAAGCCCTGAACCCTAAACCCTAAAGCCCTTTAAACCCTAAAGCCAGGACCCTAAAACCCTAGAGCCCTAAACCCTAAAGGCAGGACCCTGAACCCTGAAACCCTAAAGCCCTAAGCCCTAAACCCTAAAGCCCTTTAAACCCTAAACCCTAAACCTTAAAGCCAGGACCCTCAAACCCTGAAGCCCTAAACCCTAAAGCCAGGACCCGAAACTCTAAACCCCTAAACTCGCACAGCAGCTGGTGTGTGCTTAGGAACTACAGCTCCTTCCTTCAGGCTTTTGGGCTCTTGGAGAGGCGCAGCTCTGCCGGGTTTAGGGTTTAGGGTTTAGGGGGGCTGGGCTCATGGAATAGCAGGTTTCTGTTTCTGCCACTTGTATTGGGTAGCTATAACAAAAAGGGACCTAAATCCATTGCCTATACAATTTTGGGGGCTCCTTGTTATAAATACAGCATAATCGGCCCCAAAACCCTATTCTAATCATTAACGCCCCGACATTAGTCTCAATAATTTCAGGTTTAGGGTTTAGGGGCCTGAGGGGACTGAGGGGTTTCGGGTTTAGGGTGCAGGTTTCTGTGTCTGCTCTTTGTATTGGGTTCTTTTAGTCTCCATTGTAGTTCCTTTGTTGGTTTAGCCAGTTCTACATGTAGGATGCTACTGATGAGGTAACCTCAAAAAGGAATTATAATGGAGGCTGTAGGTATGCTCTTTGTCGTGGGAATGCACTGCGGAATTACTCTGCCCTAAACCCTAAACCCTACACGCCAAACCCTAAACCCAAGCCCTCAGCCCCAAGCCCTAAACCCTAAGCCCTAAGCCCTAAACCCTAGGCCCGAAGCCC